AAAGAGTCGTAAATTACGTGATATTAGTTTGAACGTCTGCCGCTGCACTGATAATGTACCTGTCAGGGTTCTGTCACTTCGGTCTAGGGGTATTCATAGTTTTGTGACCGAGCCCTGACACTCGTGTCATGTCATTGTTTCATGTGAGCGTGCGGCTTCGAGTGTGCTCGAGCCGTGCGCTCTCGTCTGCGTGTACTGTTTCATGTTGGAGCGTGGTGTTCAGATCCCGGCACTCATGTCTTGAGTTTCGGTTACGTGTTGGGGTCCGGACACTCGCGCTCCATGTTCTGTCTGTTGGAGCGTGCGGTCTCGAGTTCGCTCGGCCGTGCGCTCTTCTGTCCACGTGTGTTGTTTTGTGTGAAGCACGCGGTTTGTGTTCAGCCACGTGCTTTTCTTGTTGTCTTGTGTGAACACGCGGCTTATGAGCTATTTTAAAACCCATGAGCCGCCACTGCAAATAAAACAATGATTTGCACAAAAAGAATGATTAATTATCAATTGAGAATTTGTTACTGATATGGTCTTATGAAAATAATAATATGGGCTGCGAGAAAATAATAAATAAAAAGAGTGGGGCTGCTATGAGTGCAGGCAGTCTAGGGACAGCATCCATATTTCAACCCAGTGGCATGACAACACCGGCCCTCGCGGCCAAAAATACAGACCAGCCCACCGGGAATCCTCCCGGTGCTCCCAATTAGCCAATCTGGGCCTATTTTCACGTTACCTTACGTGAACCTCACTCCACCAACGATATCAATCCACTTCAGCTATGTGTCTGCATTAGGTCAGTAACTAGTTGGCATGTCTGTTTTTTTTTTAATGTGGAGTAGTGGATCAAATTAACAAAGTAGGCTATACATTAAATCCTTTAGTTTAAATGTGCTCACATGAATAGCCTTTTTATGTTTCTGTTGTGGTTGTTTTGTTTATTCTGAGAAGAGACATATGGTCTTCTTTCCTCACCCGAATTGCTCCACAACTTGTAACATTCTAAATCAACATTTGGAGGTGATAAATGCTATATTAAGGCAATTATTATGCAGCATTTTATGCGTGTAACATTACTTCGAGCCTGTCAATCAACATTAGCGCCACCCACAGGACATCTCTGCCAAAATTTTGTCCCCATGTGTTCAGAGATTAGAATATAAAGCTTACAAAATGTTTTTCATATATTAGCGCTACGGCCCAGAATCTGCCCCACCTAAATTTACGGTCAGGAGCCACTACTCCTGACCGTAACGTTTTCGTACATTTTTGGTTTTAGGTGAATCATCCTTTAAGTTGTTATATAGAGGGTTTGAACTGCGGGTGAAAATCGACCATGGCAGGTAATGCATATCAACACAATAATCAATTTGGCAGGCTATGATTCATAAATGATGTTCTAGCACTTTGCATGTCCTCGCTATTAAGTGACGTGACATGTGACGTGACATGTGGCCAAGTATGGTGACCCATACTTGGAATTAGTGCTCTGCATTTATCCCATCCAAAGTGCACACACACACCGTGAACACACACCCGGAGTGTTTATTTTTATTACCAATTAAAAACCCTTTTTCTGCAGTACTGAGTCCTCGCCTCATCCCCCTACCCGGAACCTTGACAGTACCAAGTACTTATGAGTAGCGATATTGAATATTTGATTGCCAACAGATTTACCAAGCTGTCATTCAAACAGTAGGGTCTTTCGCACTGCGGAAACCTTTTCATAGTACCAGAACTAATTGTGGAACTACCCACTTTTTGGCGTTTTCACACCGCCAGAACTGGGTGCGATTTTAGTACCGGACTGCCTTTTTCAA